TTGCTCAAATGAGCCTCAACTTCCAAAAATAAGATGAAAACATGGACTATAACAATAATATGAACATGCATGTACCAAATTCCATGTAATCAACCTCAAAATGCAACAATGTAGACATGCATGCATGATATATGCTACAATTCAACATTATGAACCAACTCTTAGCTAGAATCTCTAATTTCTCGTGGATTATGCAAGACAACACACAAATACATCAAAGAGAGGTTGAATTCTCTACCTTAAGTCTCCAATTCCAAGCCTAGAAGCTTAATTTTGCAAATCTTCTACCAATTCTCCAAGTCTCTAAGCCAATTTGAGATGGAAACAAGCTCTCTCCTATCTCTCTCTCTCTCTAGTCGGCTATGACCACAAGAATGGGCTGAAGAAATGTTGTGTTTGCATGTAATAAGGCTCAACATGTATTGCCTAAATGGTCCACTAACATGGCAATATGGTAAATAAGGCAACTTGTGTAATTTAACTTATTTTAATCTAATTTAATCATACCAAATCCAAATTCAAGCAATTATACCATAAAATCCTATAAATTCTAATCATCACATAACAGTAATCCATTTTTGGTTTGGCCGCCGATAAGGCCTTCAATTTGCAGTTTAAACATAACACGTGAACAGATAGTTTAACAGTCGAACAGATAGAAATGCACTTAAACGGATACAGAAAATCAATCAGTTCATGATTTCAGTCAATTCAGTCAATTATCATAATCAGTCTCAGTTTAACAGTAATCAGTGGTTTATCAGTAAACAGTGGTGAGGGTCGTCACACTTAGAGCACAATGCAAATGCAATGCAACGAACATATATATGTAGATAAAATTTCACATCATGAAGTCCAAGACAAGTTCTCTAAATCCCCAGTGGAGTCGCTAGAAATTGTAGCTGGTTTTTTGTGCTCCTCAAAGGGGTTTAGTCTCCTCGGTACAATAACCCGACAGTTCGACCTCCCGTAGTTCTGAATCTGGTTTCACAAGTGCAATATGAAACAGAAAAATGAATAAGAATCCAAATCCAAAAAATCTTAGAAAATCTATTTATCATCAGAGATGTCAAAAATGGATTGCATTGCCATATTTTAGAGTCGCCACCTAAATATTTTTTGAAAATTTAGGAAACCCGTGACTCGTGCCAAAGGCTACTTATCCGTCATAACCAAAGTTGTCTCGGTTTGGGAACTTAGATATGAGAGAGGAAAGTTATGAATTGAGCACCCCACTCACTTGATCAAAGATCGACCTTTACTAATCATGATATAATTTTTATCAACATTATATGCTCATGTTATAATTATTATGCTAATTTACTATGTGAGACACGCAAGTATAGACTACGTCACCCACTTTGAATGCTTTGATTTTTATTTATTTTTGAAAAGAGTTTTGAATATGTGATACTTGAATGAGAAGCAAGCTCATATGTACATTTAATCAAAATCATTCTAATTTAAGCGAAATAGCCTTCATCCACAGGCATTTAAAGAGATATTTGAAATAAGCACGCAACGTCATGGTAGTATGCTTGATATGGCAACACAAACACACATGTAATATGTTAAAGAAAAAATGCTCACCTAGTATTCAACCGAGGCACGCCAAAGAAAAGAAAATAATTAGAAAGATGCATGCTTCTCACAATGCACATGACTAATACAGCACATACAAGAATGCAACTATTAGGTTTGGCTTATTAACATATCATATGGATTAACTCAAAGCATACGGTAACGCACGTATTCAAGTAAGTGGGAAATGACAATGATATTCAAGAATGATGAACCGAACCTCAATGCATGCAAAAATAGATACAAATCATGGCAATGATATGAAATGAAAACATGATACTATATGCAACCATTGTAAACATATAAATAAAAGGAGAAAGAAAGGGTTGGAAGTCATACAACTATTTACAATTTTTCCCTCGCACAAGAGGGTTCGAATAAACGTCCTAATTAAATTATTACAAACACTAATGAATGGATTAATTATTTAACTGTTATAAACACAAATGAACTAATTAATTATTACAAGTTCGAATAGAAGCTAAGCAACTATTTAATTATACATACGAATACTAAAGCTACTAATCTAGTAGACTTGAACTGGAGGTGAGGGATCGCACGTTCAAAACTGAGAACATCTTCTGGAAACCTCTTTGTTTGCTTCTAGAACCAGCTCTATTTGTAGTAAGAAAATTGTTATGTTTTGGCCTCAGGATCTGCTTTGTTTTGTTGCAAAAATACCACTGCCTATACAAAATGGGTGGCTGGCCAGCCTAAAAGAGTGGCCGGCCATACAGAATAATTGCTGGCCGGCCATTGTTTCTAGGAAATACACTGTTGCAATAGAGCTGAAACATAGCAAGACAGAGTATTTCCAGGAGATATTTATCCTCTCCGCCCTTCCCTATCATGAAGATAATCAAGGGAGGAGTAGATTCGATTCTCAAATTATCAATCATCATAAATTTGTTTTGTAATGATCTTAGAAATGATGGGACAAGAGTTTAATCAATGCAATGAAAGACAAAAAATACATCCTCCCTATCATGGAGTTACCTCAAGGGGAGGGGTAGACTCACCTCATGAATCATTGAACATCACTAAAAAGTATGCGATAATTCTAGAAGCAACAGGTTCAATATAGCATCTGACTGAACCTAACCAAATTTTATTACATTTTTACCCTTTTTAGTCCAATTTTTATTAGCCTTTTGGCTTTACGTTTCCAATTTCTTATCTTTTCTCTTTTTGTCCAAAGGTGATGATTACGTCCACTAAGTTCAAAGCAAGAAAGACTAACAAGCATGACTTGACCCGAGAAATGAACTCTTCGAGTCTTTTTCTATGGGAGAAATTACAAAGGTAGAGTTCAACCCATTTACAAGCAATAATAAATTCGGAGTCAAGACCCGAAATGAGTGATAATGACTCTAAATCCAAACCCAATAATGAGCTATAATGAATATTTCCTTTATGATTTCCAAGGGTCTAGTTAGAAAATTAGTCCTTTAGAAGTAAATGCACTGGTGATAAAGGGAGGTATCAAACAAGAGTTCATGCTTAGCATAATAGAGATGTAATGCCCTAGTAATGAACCCCTGAGGAGATTAAACCATTTAGCATGAGGGGTTTCTTTTTTATGCCTTGAGCGACAATCTTTTGTTTGATACAACTCTTAATAAAAAAAAAAAAAACAAAGAAATGAGGGAGGTTGCAGAGTGTGAATGAAAAAGGTGGATGATTACAAGGGTGTGAATATGTACATAAAAGCTATAAAAAAAAATGAAAGAAAAGATTATCAATTCAAATGGATTGGAAGCTATGGCCTATACACCAAATCTACGAGGACTTAAAACAACACAAGTATAATATTCAAAGCATAAATTAAATAACCACATTAAATAGTCCCTAAACTCTAAAAAACAGTGGCCAAAACTAAAAGAAACAAAGTAGAAAAAGGCAAAGCAACAAGTTATAGAAAAAAGGCCTAAGGAAGGGTGGCTAACTTCTCTTTTTGCGACTTTAAATCACATTTTTAAAGCTTAAAATAGCTTCAAAATCAGTATGAAAAGGCAAAGAAAAGAGAGAGAAAAGATGGTACAAAAGCTCAAAGATTACCCCTTTAAAGAGGGAATGTTCTTCTTAGTTGACAAATCACAAGCTAAGCACTCTCAAGGGTTTGAAATTATCTTCAAGAATCTCAGCAAAAGTCTTAAGTTTAAGCTTAGAAGGTATATATATAGTGTATGTATATCGCAAGAGAGGAGGGAAGTGTGTTGGACAAGTTATGGCTCTTGGCAAATTTTTCAAACCCCAAACCATGAGGGAGGTGTTGTATTTATAGAAAAACAACATCTCATATCGGAAATATCAACAAAGAGACAGCTGGTGCAAGGCATGCACATAGAGACAACTGGCTACTACAAAATATCTTTTGTCGGGAAGCATGGCCGGCCGGCCATGAAAAGGTACAACTAGCCACCTGAAAATGGCTTGTCGGTCACTTGTTGGCCAGCTCTTCTCTAAGTGGTTAGGCTAGAAAAAACAAGATTTTGGTTCAAAGGAGGTACAAGGTTTAAGTTTTAAAGCTTGAAACCGAATCATTTTGCTAAAGTTTCGAACAATTGCACAGCGTAACATTTCATCATCGAGTGTTCAAAGTAAGGCGCCCAATTCTTAAGGGCGGTCGAAATGGAGTGTCTACAGTAAGGCAACGGTCTGCGTGACCAAAGGTCTTGGGTTCGAAATCTATACCAACCTCCTTATAGCCCTTGACTGAAATTGGGAGGTAAGGGGTGGATTTCTCAACATTCTCCTTGGATTGGTTTGTAGGGTCGGATCATAAATTGACCCGACCTTGGAGATTCCCAAAAAAAAAAAAAAAAAAAAAAAACAAAAAAAAAAACTTGTTTGGGCCACATGACTTACTATACATTTGCTACATGTGTACTTTTTTGTTTAAAAGTGTTGGCGATTAACAGAGAAGAGAGAAGGTCATTTTAGTCATTGTAATTCACTTACTATATTTTATGCCATTAAAAGAGCCTAGATGAGTGTCGCCCCCCGAACCTTTTCATAAGTCAAGTAAATGACAATTACGACAAGGATCATTCTCATAATTTGACTATAAGTGTAAAAAAATGGAGTAATTATTCTTTATTCTAATAATTACATTGATTGTGTATCCATTTAATAACAGAGGATCAAATAATCACAAAGTGTAAATGCACCAAACATTCTAAATAATTTCAAAAGAAATTGACATATTTATAATTTAAAAATTAGAGTGACATTTATTATTTAAGCTAAGAAAAAATTGATTGCTATATATAGGGCACAATTTGATCCTTACCATCCGACCATTGGAGGAAGGTGGGGTGGGGGAGATTAATGTAAATACCTAACTTTTTACAACTATAATGTTTAAGACACATGGCACCGTCTATCTGCATCAAAGTAGTGTGCCTACTCCCCTCTGTCATTGTGTTTCCCTACGTCTATATATATAGCTTCTTAAATCATTATACACTTGCCAACCATTCTCATTTTGCATCAACAACCCACCTTTCTTTGCTTCACTAAAGCTTTCCTTTTATTATTATTATTTTTTTTTTGGGGTGGGTTGGGTTCATTGTTATGAAGGGTGGTGAGGTTAGGGAATGGTTGATGGTGTGTGTGGTGGTGGTGGGTCTAAATTTGATGAATGGGAATGAGTGTGAGGCAGAAGCACAAGTACCTTGTTACTTCATATTTGGTGATTCATTGGTTGATAATGGGAATAACAATGACCTTGCTACCACCGCCAAAGCTGACTATTCCCCCTATGGAATTGACTTCTCCGACGGTCCAACTGGAAGGTTTTCCAATGGCAAAAATTTAGTGGATGTCATTGGTCAGCTCTCTCTCTCTCTCTCTCCTGAAGTTTTATAATATTTCTGAAAATTAGTTGAGTTATAATTCAGGATTCATAAATAAAATTACAAATTTATATATTTTTTTATCAAAATATTTTTGAACCATAAAATGTGTAACTAATCACATAATGCTTATCTTCAAATTATAAATCGTCGCGACTTTATTTAAAAATTACGTAATATTACTATAAAAATGTATAATATGTAACAAGATAATGCACTAACAAGACGCATATGGTAAGAAAAATAGTAGTATCAAATGTCCCTAACTAGTGAGATATTGGTTAACATGCATTACTTATATTTTTATAACTTTGATAATTAAAAAAATTATTATAAACCCATGCGAGTAGAATGTTCATTTGCACAAATGTCATGTATACATCACCTATATTTTCATAAGTTTGATATTATTTTTCTATTTTTTATTTTTTTAAAAATTTTATTCTTTTTATTTTATTTCTCCTTTTATTTTTGTTCCGTGTTTTGAGTTTTTTGTCACGTCCTCATTCCTCTTGTGGGCAAGCCACGCAACACTGACATCACCCACGAGCCAAAGTCTAATGGACACTGTTTCAAAAAAAAAAAAAAAACCACAAATAAATCAAGATGATGTTCCAATAATAATTTTAAAATTATAAAAATAATGATGAGTTAAAACTTGAACTTAAAGCACTTGTCCTGTTTGGTAGAACTGTGAGAAAGTGCTTATAGTTTATGCCTTAACAGCTTATAGCTTATAACTATGAACATAAACTGACTCTGACTTATAAATTAAGCTTCTCCTACCCCACTCAAAGAATAAGCTGATTTCTGACTTACAAAAAGTATAAGCTGCATTGTTAAGCTAAACCAAACACATCAAAATAGCTTAAATTAAGCTGAAAGCTGAAATAAGCTGAAAAAAAGCTGTACCAAACAGGGCTACTATAATATTGCTTGATTTGTCCCTTGAGAGGCAATTCTTAAGAAATTTTTTGTTTGATTTTTTTTTTAAAAAAAAAAAGTCTAAAATTACTTCTTTCTCTTTTTTTTTTTTTTTTTTTTTCTCTTTATTAATATCAATAAACCACTTTTTATTTCTCTTCTATCATTCTCTTACATCAGGTGTTTGATGAATATTATTTTAAGCTAAAAATTGATAACTAGAAAATCAAAAACTAAAAGCACCACCACTATTCTAACTTTTGAAAAGTTTTTTTTTTCTTTTTTTTTTTTCTAACTTACGGAAGTGCTGTAGAGCTCTAATTAGAGCTGCTACAGTGCAGCTTCAATGAGCTGTCCACCTATAAAAAAAAAACAGTGAAGTAAAAGACAAAAAATAGGGAGGAAGAAGACAAATTAATGCTCTATTAGAGCTCTATTTTTAGAGGTCTAAATCATTTTTGTTCTAACTTATTTAAGTCATTTTTACCTAATAAATACTTTTGCACAAACTCCTAAACTAAAATAAGTTATAAATTGCTTTTATAATCTCCACCAAACAATTCCACAACACACATCAATCAATCATTTTTTTTCTCACACCTATCTATTCAACTACAAAAATAAAATAATAATAAATCATCCCAAACTCTAAAATTCTACAATTATTTTCAAAATATATAACCAAGCAAATTTTTAAATTTTGTTAACTCTTTCGAAAAAATTATTTTTAAAAATTATTTTACAAATATAAACCAAATATGGCCTATATAAAATTTTGAATAGTACTATCTTAATTTAAAAGTTAATTATCTATTTTATACATCACTAAATTAAAAAAATAGATTTAAAAAGTACACTTCTCTTTTAAAATTTTTATATATCATCACTAGTCCCATAATGAGAAGTCTCCTCGTACCATCGCATGATAAAATTTAGTAGTAATGAAACTGAAATATTAATGTTTCTAAAATTTTAATTTCAGTTTTTTAAGTTTAATTTCACGGTTTTAAAATGTGATGGAAAATAAGGATAACCACCACATTCATATATATCACACTTGTGATGCGAAAAGTCGAGATTGATACTATCGTGATCACAAATTGTGATTGTTTAACTTTGGGCAAATCTTGTTAAAAAAAAAACTTTGGGCAAATTACCTCCTCGATCCCCCTTGAGATTTAATTAAATTACAAATATTTTTTTAAAATTTTAAAAATTACATCTTAGCCCTTGAGATTTATATTAACATAACCAAAATATAAATTGATAGATGATAATTGATCTTGTTGAAATCTGTTTGATAAATCAACAAAAATTATAAAAGAATTACGTTAGATGGAACAAAAAGAAAATATAAGTTTTTGGAACTATGTTTGATTTGTTATTTAAAAAAATAAAATTCAGATTTAAAAAAATAAAATAAAAACTAATTCAAGAAAAATAAATATGAAAATATATATTTAATTTGTAAAAATTATTTCTAACCACTCAAAAAATAAAATTATATAAAAATAATAATTATTTTTTTATTTTTTATTCTTAACCAAATTAATTTTTAATTTTTTAATAAAAAATTTTTTAAAAAAATTCTAAAAATCAAACCAAATCTATACTAAGTATTTTTTGACAAGCCATTTTTTGTATTTTTAACTTATTTAATTATTTGTTAATTTTATGATATTTTCACTATCTAACACTACAACATATAAGAGTTTAGAGACCAATATTTTTTATTTTTAAAAGTGAAAATTTTGTTGCAAAAGACATTTAGAGATTAATTTCTATCGTCGTGAAGATAGTCACTAAAAGGCCACCCTAAAAAGTAAAAAATAAGGCTTTTAGCGATAAAATTTCGAAAATGTCAATAATAAATAGACTTTCAGGAACAAAATAATTTGGTCTCAAAATGGTTTATTTTTTAAGATAAAAAATTTGATAGCAAAGAGATAATAATTAATCACTAATGTGTAATTTTCGTTATAAAAATATAATGATGACCTTTTTGGCAACAAAAATATTTGTTCCTCTAAAAATAATTTTATCCCTAAATTTTAGTCTCTAAAACCTTAATTTTTTTGAAGTGTGATAAGTGTTTTTCCATCTTAATTTTTCATTTCATAACTTATTTAAAAATGACAATTTAGCTAAATCTCAAGAGGAATCTGTAATTTAGTTAAATCTCAATGGAATGTTGGTAATTTGCCCTTATTTGTCAAAATGACATTTTAGTCAATTTATAATACCCGTTAACAATGTTAATTACGATAGAACGGAATGTAATATTTGAAATCTTATGGAAGAATTTGTAATTTTTTCAAATCTCAAAGGAGGTATAGGTAATTTGCTCATTTAAAAAAGAAAAATATTGTCCACGCTTGTAGATAAAAAGTGAGCCTAACAGCCTATCTTATTTATTTATTTATTTATATTTATTTTTAATTTTTTTTTATCTCTTTCGGTGTAAAAGTCCAGCTGATTAATTAATTTAAGATCCTAAAGTTGGGATTTTAATGATAATTAATTCGCATGTCAATTTCAAAAAAATGACATTTTAATTTTTTATCAATATCTTTTAGAAAGAAAGGACAGCCTTGTGGGCGGTTGTTGTTTTAGGAGTAACGTTTGTATGAAGTTAAGAAATTTTTAAGGTGACATATTCTTCGTTGATAATTGATATAAATGATAAGTATGTCATATTTATATTCTTATTTGAGTTGAGAAACAGCTTCTCTTAAGTCTCATCATGAATCGGAGAGTTTTAATATAGTCACTGTGAGTTCATCTAGAGTTTGTTTTAATGATCTGAATCGTTCATCTTATAATATTCATTTAATATATTATTTATTAACAAAAATCAGATAAATTAGACACCAATAACTACTCAATTGGATTATATTTGTCTAAAAAAATATTAAAGACTAATCAATTCAATTTTTTATATAAATAATATACTTAATAAATTTTACAAAATAAATAATTTGTATTATCGAAACAAAGTCAAACTAAGCGGGGGGTTGGATCTTTCTAATCGCATCATGGATCAGTCAGCTCTTCCCTTATGCTGTGTTTGGTTGAAGGATTTGGGGAGGGATTTGTAAAGAGGAAGGGAAAATGTGTGTGAAACTAGGTGAAATATAGACATGCTTAATTCACATTTCATCTACCTTTTTTATTTTTCTTTCCAAATCTCTTCCCAAATCTCCCAACCAAACACAATATTAGAGTTGCAATAGGAGAGATTGGTTATTTATGTATACAATATTTTTCATGTTACGGACATAAATTTGGATTAATCACTTTTTGGGACAAGTTTTGACTTTGGGCAGGAAGATGTTTACAAGTTTAGGTAAACTCTCTTGTAAATATACAAGAAACTTCGTGAAAGAAATGTTGGATTTACTTATAGGTTTTAATAGATAAATTTACTATTTAATAGGTCTTGTAAAAAGTAATGACATTTTTTATTAAAAATTATTAGTAAAATGTTACTAATTGTTAATTTTTAGTCACAGTTTAAAAATTTTATCATAAAAAATCACTAATTATATGTTTTAGTGATAGTTTAAAAAAATCGTCACAAAAATAAGTTACTAATTTTTAACTTTCAAAGATAGTTTAAAAAATTCGTCATAGAAAAACGTCACTAATTGTAAGTTTTAGTGACAATTTATAAAAGTCGTGACAAAAAAAAAAGTCATTAATTGTCAATTTTTAGTGACATATGCAAAAAATTGTCACAAAAAGTTTTTAGCAACGATTTTATTATGATTTCAATAGGATTTTATGGGAATTAAGTCCAACCATTAAAATCTATTGGTAGTTTGTCCTTTTTTTTATTCATATGTTCAATACTTTTAACCTTAATACATACTTATGTCTTGGAAATGTGGTAAACTTTAGTTTTAAATTTGTGAATCAAACTAGGTCATGCATACTTATCTTTATTTGTTAAATTTGATGGGTCAAACTTGTTCACAGGCACAAGATTTTACGATTCTATAATGTTGGGTAACACAAGTTTGAACATGTACAAATTGTTCAGTAATGCATGTCCAAACATGGGTAATTTGTTCAGCAACACAGATCTGAACATGGCGGCAGAGAAATCGACGGCAAAGAGATCGACGACGAAGAAAGGTCAATGGTAAGAGATTGGCTATGATAGGGATCGACGGCAGAGCTCTCTTGACGGTGAGAGGAAGATTGGAGAATTGATCAACTGTTAAGGGTTTTGGGAGATGAAGAATTTTTAAGGGGTATGCTAAAGGTTGTGTATTTTGGTGGGTGTGATATTTTTACAAGAATAATTTTTGGTATTATTTGAGGTGTTTTAGAAATTTTTAAGATTTTGAATTTTATAGGTAGTGGTTCAAAGAAACGAGAGGTCCAAAGTATTAATTGAGGTACTAATAGCAATACTTCATATCATTATATATAATTTTTTTGTTTATATAGAATTACTATTGATAAACTTTATAATTTTTTTTTTTTTTTGAGAGCATGAAAAATGGTTATATTAAAATAAAAGCAATAAGACCTAAAAGGCCAAACAAACAACAAAACAATAACTACAAACAACAACAAAAAAAAATAACAAAATAAAAAACAATCTGCCAAAAGCCATTAAACATTAACTTATAACTTTTTCCAATGACTATTCAAATATTTTTTGAAAAATCCAATGATAAGTTATTTCTCATAAAAAATAACAAGGGGAAATTATAAATTAGCAATTTTTTTGAAATCTTTCCACCGATTTATAATTTTTCCAAATAACAAAGGGGAAATAATTGAACAGTGTAGCAGTGATTTTAAAAGTCATCCCAAACATACAAGTTTTTTTTACCTACCTTTTTAACCAAATAGCCAAAAAATTACTAAATTAGCCTGTTCCCAAACGAGGCCTTATTTGTGTAGAGCCTCCCTTACCACATTAGGTAAATTTAGGAGTTCAAATTGTGGTTCTCTAGCACTTTTCTTTCATTTGAGTACATATTAAAAATATTTACAGATTAGTGATAAATTATATATATACATATATATTAAAAATTAAAATTATAATAAACTTTATCTTGCGTTTGTAATTAATTTTTTAAAAAACCTCTGATATGTTATTTTCTCAAAATTATTCAAGAAGAAACACATCACTACTGCCAGGTGGATCTTCAATAGATAATTTTACTTCATGTTATACATAAATTTGGTAAATTTCATTGAAGATCATTAAAAAGTGAAATTATAGCACAAATTTGTGTATTAAAGTTATATAACACAAAGTGATAGAAGTGGCACCCATTCGCGTGTGTTTAATATTTGTTAGTTTAGAGAGTGGGTGTGTGCTCCAATGGTATGAAAAATGATTTTGCTCTCTCAATTCCACCATCAATAATGTGGAATTATAGATGTTAAAGATGAGAGGAGTATGAAATCACTTCACATTGGTCTTAACCACATCATAGGGGGTGGAATTGGGAAGCCTCAATCAAGGGATCAATCATTTTTCTTTTATGTACATTTCTTTTCTTACAAAGTTCACGTAAGATTTTTCAATTTTTTTCTTCTAAATTTATGGTCTAGGGATTGGACTTAGGTAAAGAGAGCACGGCCACGTGCTATTTCATGATATTATGATTAGTAGAAAATGTGAGATATTATGATTTTGTATTAGGTAATTGAGAAACCTGAAGAGATATGATGAATGATAATTAATAAAAGCGTACGAACATATGGTATTTTAGAAATACTTAATAATTTTTCGTTCAGGTAATATAGATAGATGAACCAAGGTTATTTATTCACGGGTAACATTATTAGAGTAAATCTTTGAAGAGTGCTTGTATATGCGTTTCCTCCTTACAAATTTCACGTAAGATTTTTAAATTTTTTTTTCTAAATTTATGATTTAGGGATCCGACTTGGGCAAGGCCCATTCTAAATTTCTGAATTCAAGATCTATTAATGTGAGTATATGGGCCCAGATCTGGACTTGGCCCATTTGGGACTGATTAATGAAATATAAACATTGTAAAACAAGTTTTAAAATGGCAGGTCTTCGTGTAGTTCCAGGAAAATTGTCTGGGTCACGGCCCACCTCGCATGCCCATGATCAGCCCAAATATTTTAGGTTCTGTCTAGCTTGCCTTTGGGCTTATTGATGCAACCTAGGAGCATGAAATGAATAGTTTCCTAGTTGTGAGACTGATGATTTACATGTTTATCTTATTAGAAACTTTGTGTACGTAAAAAATTTCATCTCCAAGAGCCTGCAAAAGGGAAACTTTAAGCTCATCAAATTAAATATTTGAGTATTTATATACAGATGGCAAATTTATAAAACACCTATACATAATGATTTGACTGAGTTTTGAACCTATTACTTTTGTTTAAAGAGCCCCATTGAAATGCTTTTAAAAACTGATACTACTACATCTTTATGCTACAAATATTTTTGTTGTAAAAAGTATCATTATATTTTTAGCAACGAAAATTGGACATTAGTCATAAATTATTATCTTTTTGTGACCAAATTTTTTATCACAAAAAATAAATCATTTTGAGACCAAATTATTTTGTCCCTAAAAGTGTATTTATTAGTGACAATTTCAAAATCTTGTCGCTAAAAGCTTTATTTTTTACTTGTATTATTTTGTCCCTAAAAGTGTATTTATTAGTGACAATTTCAAAATCTTGTCGCTAAAAGCTTTATTTTTTACTTGTCGGGACGACTTTTTAACGACTATCCTCATGACGACAGAAATTGGCCCATAAATATTTTTTGCAACAAAATTTTCACGTTTAGAGACCAAAAATTTTAGTCTCTAAAACTCTTATATGTTGTAGTGCCTTTCAACCCAATTCATCACAATTCATATGCCATGGAATGGAATAGAAAGTTGAAACTTGTTTTATTTATTTGCAGCTGAGTTACTAGGCTTTGATGATTATATTCCTCCCTATGCAACTGTAAAAGATCAAGACATACTAGGAGTGAATTATGATGCATCTGCAGCTTCTGGGATTAGACATCAAACTCCGCAACTATCGGTATTTAATTAATCTAATATGCTCTAATTATTTCTCTAGTGAAGAGATTATATTTTTTGCACTAACTGGTGCACACATATTTTGTTTGTCATTATAGGTTGGTGGGAGGATTTGTATGAATGAGCACAGTTACAGAAATACTGCATTAATGCAAGTGGTGAACATACTAGGTAATGATGAGGACTTGGTTGTAATTATTTCCAACTTACTGATCTTAATCCAATTACACCTTACTACTAATGCTAAAGCTGAAGAATTCTCTCTCTCAAGCACACAAATACTCTAAAAGGAAAAGTGTGATACAAACTTATTTTAAGCGTGAATTCCATCATATAAAGGTTAAATTCAGACCAAAAACTAAGTTTCTGAATTTTTTTTTCTCTATCTGAATTTTTTTTATTCCAACATTACCACTAACCATAAGTGCATTTATTGTTTGCATTGCTCGTGGCATAGGTTGTTATCTGTAATCACTTTCAAAATAGGGTTCGGATCCTCTCCAATTAACTGCAGTTTAGGTTGGGTTTGAGGTTAACATACTAGGTAATGATGAGGACTTGGTTGTAATTATTTCCAACTTACTGATCTTAATCCAATTACACCTTACTACTAATGCTAAAGCTCAAGAATTCTCTCTCTTACTCTAAAAGGAAAAGTGTGATACAAATTTATTTTAAGTGTGAATTCCATCATATAAAGGTTAAATTCAGACCAAAAACTAAGTTTTTGAATTTTTTTTATTCTAACATTACCACTAACCATAAGTGCATTTATTGTTTGCATTGCTCGTAGCATAGCTTGTTATCTGTAATCACTTTCAAAATAGGGTTCGGATCCTCTCCAATTAACTGCAGTTTAGGTTGGGTTTGAGGTTGACTTTTTTAGTCAACTTTTTTTTGAACTATTTTTACAGCTAAGACAACTAATCGGTTTAAGAAGTTATTAAAATAACTATTTTTAGTGAGTTCAAAAAGCTAATGTGAGATTTAAAATTTTCAACTGATGACAAACAGATATGTTTGTTTTTTTTTTTTTCGTTTTTATAGCAAAAAATCACTTTTCAAAGTTGTTTTCAAGCAGCAACTTTGTGAGTCCACGGCTCTTTCTCAACACATATTCCAGTTAGCTAGAGGAAAAAGCCGTGTGTTTTGAAGTAAATGCTCATTTTGTCCAACTAGTTAAACTTATCAAACTACAATTGCTTTTTATTTTTATTTTTATTTTTCATGATTTTTGTTTCTGAACAATTTTTATATTTTCGAACCCTACATTAATAGACAATGGAATTGTTCAGTTTGTATTAGACAGTAATATGTTGGCTTAAGATTTGGGTTCTGTTGGACACTGTAGTACTATATTGATGCGCTCGATATATCGGTTGGTATAAAAATTACATTTGTATCAACCGGTTTTGGATATGTATTCTCTTATAGCAAATTTATGAGCCATTTCACAACTAATACTGTTGGTTCAGAGTCAAATACAAACGGTTTAGTTGCTATAAAAATATTTTTTGTGGCTGATAACACCAAATTTCATTTACATATCATATCACTTCCTAGTCCTGATATTGTTACATCACAACCGATACTAATATGTTTACTGATACTGCTATTTAAAATCATGGCTTGCTTGCCACTATTAACATGCTAATTTTAAGTACACTTTCCAGGTCAATTTCTAGGTTTTGACAATTTAACTCCACCTTGTTCAACTGAAAGAGGCTCAGAGGGCATCCTTATGGGTGTAAACTATGGATCAGGAGGTGCAGGAATTCGCGATGAAACTGGGGAAGAACTGGTAATTAGATGGTGTGTGTGTGTGTGCGCGTGCGTGTGCGCGAGCGCACATGCATGTTGTTTTGTTAACACATACTCCAAACTTAGAATTTTTGTGTCCAGTTAAAGAAAAAAAGAACACTCATATTTTTTGATTAATTCATTAACTCGTACATCTTGAAAATTTTCTCTCATCAATTGTTAAAAGTATTTGGTTGAAGAGAAAGTATGACCCCAAATAGAGCACACACAAGCCTTTGTTCAATTAAGATGACACAATAGAATGTGAATAACAGAAATAACATAAATATTTTTTTTCCTCCTATTTTGGGAAAAAAAAATACCCTATTTGAGATAGGCATTATTACAACTATGCCTAGATTGCTTATTTACTTCTTATGATTACAGGATACTCTATCATAGCAAATTTCCATGTTATCTACATATAGCTGATGGTTTAAGCATTTCATAGAATCAGGTGCAAACAATAACTTTTCATATTTCCAACCAGGGCGATCGGATCAGCATGAATAATCAGTTACTAAATCATCAGACCATAGTATCACGCATTGCCACCTTACTAGGGGGTGAAGAGGGGGCTGCAAATTACCTAAGCAAGTGCATATATTCAATTGGAATGGGAAGTAATGATTACATTAACAATTACTTATTGCCGGAGTATTATCCTACAAGTCATTTATATACACCGGAACAATATGCGTCTGCCCTAATTGAAGAATATTCTCAGCAATTACGGGTTGGTATTACAATTTGTAATTTTATAATTTTATTACAATGGGCATATACATTGAGATGGTTATTTTATTTTTATTTTTTTGTTTTTCTTGGCTTATAATAGACTCTGTACAAGCTTGGAGCAAAAAAAATGGCAATCTTCGCACTTGGTCTAATAGGTTGCACTCCAGCTGAAATGACTACCTATGCCACCAATGGAACCGAATGTGTGTTGGAGATTGACAATGATGTTAAACTTTTCAATGAGCAACTCAAGTCACTTGTTGATGACCTCAATAATGATCTGACTGACGCAAAATTCATCTATATAAATGTTACTGAAATTTCTTCAGGGAATCTATCCGCTGTTGGTATGTTACTTCAATTTTATATCTCTTGTATTCATAATGTAAATCTTCTTTTATTTTGTATTTTATAATTATGTGTAAAGTATTTCTATAGAACGAAATTAAGCGAAATACTGATAAAAGTGATTTGTTTCAGGTATTACAATTTCAAATGCTCCATGTTGCATTGTATCCTCAAACATAGGTAAGGGACAATGTATACCTAATCAAGTTCCATGCAGTAACCGGAGCATCTATGCATTCTGGGATGGATTTCATCCGACTGAGGTTACAAATGCATACATCGGAACCAGAGCTTATAGTGCTCAGACTTCATATGACGCTTATCCTATTGATATCAGTAGCCTAGCTCAACTATAATAGGGTTTCTAGCTCTGCTGTTATTTTCTTAAATAAACTATGCTTTGGGTTAAATTAAAACTTGAAACATTTATATGTTTCATACCATTGTCCAGTAGTAGCAGGGTGGAGGCACGTCAGGCTCAGGTCATGTGACCCGCTCAACTTTTGGAAAATTATGCTTGTCTTTTGTGAAAAAACAATTTAAACCTTTCAAGTAATATTGGGAAATGTTTATATCACTATTTTTTTTTTTACCTCTTTATATATATATATATATATATATGTTTAATTTGTCACTTTAAATGTTTGATTATGTTAATTTTTTTTTATATAAATTTTATGTTAGAGAAATGTTATATGTCATTGATTTTCTATCACCTCTTATATGAATACTCATAATTAGTTCATTTATTTATAAATAATTTTTACATAATTAATAACAACTAATAATATACTGTTATATGATTTAGTGATTCAAAGCGGTGAAAAAAACAAATGATATTTAGCAATCCTATGTATTATTTATTTACCCTTTCTTTTATTTCTTTCTCTATCCCTCTCTATATCTCTTTTTGTGTGTGCATCTTTCTATAATTTAATTGGTTAACTTGAGCTTATATTTAATTATAATTTTTGCGTCGCACTAATTTTTAATTCTGCCATCGAATAAAAATTAAGTTAAATTGGATTGTAAATTTTGTTTAGATTTCAATTCAGTAATTAAATCCCGACTCTACTAGCTGGCAAAAAGGCCTTTTGTGCCCAGTTCCAATGCTACCACCAGTGGTAGCACAGCTATGGGGCAGGCAGATGTGAGTGTTGTCACCACCACAACCAAGACTGCCAATTCCTTTGCCAACACAGCTCCACAAACTATAGCCAACCCTACCCAATCCCAGAGGACTTTTACCCAACTCTACATGACCTTATCTCAAGCCATGAAGGTGCTAATCAAAAAATGGCACCTCAAACCATTAGAACCCCGCCTATTACATGATCCTCTTCCACCCAAACACAACCTTACAAAATGCTGCACGTTTCACCAACAACATGGTCATGATACCGACTAATGCTTCCGACTACATCATGAGATTCAAGACCTCATTGACAATAAGGTGATTGCACTACCCCAGAAACCAAATATAACTACAAACCCACTCTTGGCCCATAATCAAGTTCCTCCACCTCAAAATCTAAACATGATCCATACATTGGCCATCCCCTACATCCCTAGCGTATATATTACCCCTTCACACATTCAAAGACCAATGTTGTTCATTCCCAAAAGCACAGCTCTGTGCATGATGGACATGTCCGCAATTCAACCTAAGCCTGTGGTGGTGACAGTTGTAGTAGAAGGGAGGTTGACCTTGGAGGAAGGCTTGAGTCCGTTGCCGGAAAGTTCTGAGAACTTAACTGGTGAGATGTATTGTAATGACCCATTCTTGGCAAGGCAAAACCTCACCAAGAGGGTGCAGTTCAAACACTCTAGCACCTGTACACAACAATCACTGTATAATTCTTATATCACATCACCACATCACCAAAAGTGCATAAGACCTTTCGATTGGCCAACATATATGAGATGATCTATTCAAAGACAAAAATATCATCATGCAACAAGATAGTTCCCAAGCATCACTTCCCAAAAAGATAAAACATACTATTCACGAATCCATCAATACATCCAACTTCATAAAACAAATATTTACAATCAATCTCCTTCATAAAAAATAAAGGATAAAACTACATCCTAGAATGACCCTAAGAAAAATCTCAACTGCAAGATGTCCACATTTGATCCTTCAAAAATTATGATCTTCCAAGTTGAGGCGAGCCACACAAAAGTCAAGGAATCTGAAAAAAGAAAATTATTTAAAAAGAATGAGTTAATGCCATACCAATACCATGGAGTTATAAAACTTGCTCCTTCTAATTGGGTTCAAAATAAAGACAATAAACATAAGAGCTTAATTGGACTGAAATTTATACAAAATAAAAAAAAATAAAAATAATGAAATAAAATTTTCATAAACCGTTATCAAGATTTTTCCAAGGAATCTCATAAGGTAGAAAAAAAAAATATTTGAATAATGAAAGTAAACAAAAATACAACTTTTCACTACATTAAGATTTCATGTCCATCATACAAACCACTACATAGTCTTAGGGTCGCGTTACCTTGTGACTTGGGTGGTGATGGTTCCGTTACCCAAAATATAACCACAGGAACATAACTCATGTCATCGTAGCATTTCAATTCTTATTTCAATATTTCGGTCCCCAGGACCCCTTATGTACAATGATCCTTATCGTCCTTAAAACATTTCGGTTCCCAGGACCCCAAAGCATTTTGGCCCTTGTGGCACTGTGAAACCCCGTATTTTTGAGGTATTAATATTTTAATGACAGGTATTGGTGATTGTTTGGTGGTAAGATTTTTAGATGAGAATCTAACTTATTTTTCTCTATTTATTTTATCTCATTTTCTCTCCACCTCATTATTATTCATCTCCTTTGTTTTCTAATAATTTTTCATTATTCTTGGGCACCAAGTAAATTTTATTTTATTATTTTTTCATCATTTCCTTGCTTACCAAGTAATCTTTTATTTTTAGTTTCTTTAATCTTCATTTCTCTCCAAGTTACTTTGTCTCTAAGAAAGTTTCTTTTCTTGTTCTCCAAGTAAATCCCTTTCTTACCCACCAAGTAAAGTTCCTTTCTTTGGCCCCAAGTCTTTCTTTTCTTTTGTCCCAAGTATCCTTGTCTATAAATTGAGCTCACCTCTCAACTTCTTTCTATGGTTCTTCCCATATCTCTCTCCATTTGTTATATAGATATAGAGTTTAGATTAAGAATGTTTAAAGTGAGAGTAAGCATTTTCATAAAGTATGAGAGTTGTAGATTTGTGAACCCTTACATACCTTATGGCTTAGAATTTGGAAATCCATGGAGAAATATCGAGATTTGAGTGTTGGTGATGGAAGAGATTGATTTGAGGTAATTCGGGTGGTATACAATATGATTCCTTTAAATCTCTTTGCAAAGAGTTTATTTTACTTACTTCCAATTTGTAATCCTTTTGATTATTGTGATCATTTGTTAAATTCTGTGAAATCATTCTCGTTAATACGTTCGATTATTCTAGTCATTTGATAAATTCTATGAAGTTGTTTTGTGTAGTCAGTGTTGATTTGTCTGGCTAAATGACGTGGAAATGCTCCGTACATGGATCGAGTAGACCTTGCCAATAGCTTGGACCAATAGCCTGGATAAGCGGTTGTGCTTGGGTGAGGTGGGTGAGGCCGGTCATTGATCGTGTACCGAGTAGGACCGGGTATTTGGTTCTGGATAAATTATCATATGTCGAGTTGACTTGTTTGTGCAATTTGGTAAATTGCTTGATATTATTGAATCTAATCGGTTGTGTAATTGTTGGATCTCTGTTGATTTATTTTCTGTCCGAGCCTTGTTATTCCTGTCGTATTGTATACTTCTCGAATTAATTTATTTTTCAGGTGTGGAGCAAATTTAGTGGCGATTGGAGTTGAAGCATCTAAAGAGATTATTTGAGTTGGAGATTTTTTAGTCCACAACTATATATTATTTTTGCAGATTTGTATAATTTAGATTTTGGAGACATTTGTGTTAATTATTTATGGAGACGATTGATATATTTGAGATTATGAGTTATCTACAATTATACATTTGAGGTTGATTTGATTTATTAACGGCCTAGAAGTTGGGGCGTTACAGGCACCAAAGGCTATATTCGGTTATATGATCAATAAAACAAATACCCTCACATAATGTTTCATTGTCATTCAATCATCATCATCATAATCATAAAATTTGAAGGACTCAACGTAAATAAATTCTCAAAAAAAAAATTTAATGCTTCATTATACAAATGAAATCATATATTTATTTAAACTCAACCCTTGGACTCAATAGATTTATAGATTTTCTTTTTATGCATATATTATGATGAAATGTATCATTCACTTCCCTTTAATTCAAAAATATTTTCAAACTTTGTAATAAAAATAGAGGTAAGGTAATTTCCATGGTAAGTATACTCACCTCCAAAATAGCAAAAGCGTAGATTTGACACTCTACGAATTAATTCCCAGGAGGTGTAGAGACGTCTTCCACTAATCCTAACAATTAGTAAATAGGATCTAAAATTAGGTAAAAGCTTTCAATGAAAATTACAACATCTACAAAATTGATCATAAATAAGTCATACTATGGAATGACAAGCTATAGAACTCCTCCAACTTCAAGTCACCCAAACAAATAACTTATCCAATCTCCACAACACCCATCCTTTGTACATTTTTGAGTTATTAACTTTTTAAATATCCAACCAATTTATATGCACAATACCACGATCAATTAACTACAAAAGTCAAAAATCAACATTTTCATAAACTCAACAACTTAAGTAAACCACTTCAATCATTTATAAAATTCCTCCATAGAATATAGAGATACCCAATCCACCATTTATCAAATCAATTTCAACATATAAATTTCTTAACACCAAAATCTCCAATTTTTATATCACATTCAAACCCTAGATTAACCCAAATCTCAATCTCCAAAACAATCATCAAATTGATTATTTTTCTACATGTAAAACATTCATAGAAACTAATTGAGAGTATAAAACTCAACAATGAAACCCCAAATCATAATAGATCTAAAATAAAAAAATTCATCATCTCTAACTCAAAATATGTAAAACCTTAAACTAAACTTTTTAGAGAAAGATTCTTACCAATTAAAAGCCTCTAGTCCATCAAGAAAATAAACCCCAAGCTTTGATTCTTCAAAAGATTAAGAAAAATCTAGAGTTGGTACTTCTATTGTGCTATTTTCGGATGGAGTAAAGGAGTGGCCGACTGGACCCTTTTTCTGGCGAGATAATGTGGTCGGCGGTGGTGGAGATGGTGGGTTAAGGTGGTGGTGTAAGGGTGGAGCAAGGGTGTGGTGTTTGGCCACCAAGAAAGTAAAGGAAAATGAGAGAGAATGCAGAGAGAAGTTAGAGAGGGAAGAATGAAGACAGTGAAGAAAAAAAATCTGCACTTTTTTTTTTTGTTTTTTGTTGAAATGGGGTGTTTGGTCACACCTACTATCAAGTTTGGAGCTGGGTTTTGATATCCTAAATGGAGTTT